GCCCCGGATGGCCTCACCCACGCTCAGGGCCTTTTCATAGGCTTTAGCCAAAATATGCGTGGGATTTGCCACCTGCTTTGCTGCAGAGACACTGTGAATCTCCATGGGACAGTTCAGCCTTTCTAAATACTGCATGTCCTTCCTTCTGGTGGCACTGAGGTTCTGAACGTTTGGGAGTCACAGACACGGAAATCGCGTGGTGCCCCCTCCTTAGGAAATGTGTGTCCGTGAGCACACAGACAAAAAGTAGCCTAAGATTTCAGGGGCTCACTGACCCCAGATAAAACTCCCTTGTCTGGTAGGGTGAACCAGAGTTGAGCTAGTTCTGTCTTGACTATTGGATATTTAAATGCTTTCCCCCTTTTCCCCATTATAAAAAGTACTGTGATGAACATCTTCACGCAAATGTGTTTTATTTCTGAAATTCAGATTATTCCTTAGAATGCGTTCAGAAGACATTCGATTTAGGAGACAGGAGCTGTGCTCAGCTCTTCCTACACATCGCTGATGCACTTCCCAGGGCGGGGTTGATCGGCAGGCCACCCGGGGGTCCACACGGGGGGTCCTGCTATATTACAGCCTCACCCACTGGCCCTTCAGACTGGACCAGGCGACTTCCAGGACAGACAAATGACAGGCTGGCCAGTGACTTTGCTGCTGACCTTGCCCCATGATCATCCTCACCTGCATGCCAATCCCAAGCCCTAATTCCTGATGCCGTGGAAGGCACAGCACTGAGGGAACACAGAACCCAATCCCGCTCTGGGACTCAGACCTCAGCCGGAACAGCAGCTCTCCTCAGCCACTCATTCCCCAATGGGCCCTGAGCGCTCATTTGGTCAAGGATTTCAGGCCGTCACTGTGCTGGGAGCTGGAGTGGGGGGTAGGGTAGAGCAGGTGCCTTGGCCATCTCGGAACAGGGCCCTGCCCGGCTATGCCCCACAGGAACGGATACTGCCCTCACATAACGAAATGTCGGAGGGACTCTCAGATGCAGGGGGCTTGGGGGGGTACTCCTCCTCCTCGCCCATCCCCAGCCCCACGGACAGCCTCCACGTCTAGTTCTTGGGTTCTGCCACTAGAGGGATCCCGTGAGCCAGTCTGCCCGCACCCCTCCTGGGGACCCAGTGCGCAGTTACATTAGGAACCTTTGCTCCAGGAGCGGCTATGGGCACATGCCAGTCCTCAAAGCCAAGCCCGGCTGCAGGGTGTCTGCTCCAGGCAATGCCGGCGCTCTGGACCTCCGCCCTGGACCTCCACCCAGACGCCCTCTCTGTCCAAGGCACAAGGACCACACCTCTCTTCCTGTAGTACCCTTCAGAGTCATGGTTCTCAACCAGGCAGCACGCTGGGAGCCCCTGGGACCCCTCCCAGCAGCTCTGGCTTAGTTGGTCTGGCTGCCACCTGGGCATTAGGCATTTCCAAGGCTGCCCAAAGGCATCCTCACCTGCAGCCACGTGTGGAGTGCCTGGTCTATAGTGTCCCGTACGGCTGACCCTTTAGTGCAGGATTTCCAGCCCCATCACCGTGTGGGCACTGTGTGGGGGTGGGAAGGAGTAGAGGAGCACCATCCTTGCTTCCACGGTCTCCAGTGTGGTGGCTCGGAGAGCAAAGGAACAAGTGAACGTGCACTGGGGGGACTGGCCCAGTGCCCAAAGCTGGCTCTCGTCAAAATGGCCTATGAAAAATGCAGATTCCAGGGCCCGTCCAGCCCCTTCCAGAATCCACATCTGCTTTATAAAGTTCCCAGAGACCTGTCATGTGCAGCTGGGCCGGGAACCAGTGTGCCTCCATGTAACACCCATCAGGTTCTGTCTGGGATGCAGGCCGTGTCCACGTCAAACCCGCCTACCCCAGGCTGAAGACATACCCCTGGCCAGGAGGCAGGGAGGGCTCCCGTCCGTCTTTGTCCTGCCGCAGCACAAAGCCCCAGCCTAACCAGACTGCTGGGGCCGGAAGAGCAAGCGCCACGGAATTGCAGGGACTCTGCAGTGGAGGCACCTCCGTGACCACACCACAGTCTTCTCTGCATACCCAGAGATCGATCCACCATCTGGGAAGCAGCTCTAAGCAAACAGATGACCCCAAACGAAACTGGGCGGGGCCGGGGTCTGGAAAGCAAACATACGGCTCTGGAAGCCTTACCCCCAAAAGGCCTCCTAACGTGGCCGCAGAACCCCGGCACCCGAGAGACGCCCCTCTGCTTTTGCTCGGGAGCTGGCACGCGGTACAGAGTGGGGCTCTCGCATCCAACGGCAGTCGGAATCACCTGGAATATTAGCCAGCCGTGAACAGGAGGTCCACATCCTCGACATCATGCTCGAAGAAGCCAGACACAAAGACCACATGTGGCACGGGCACCTTGGTGGCTCAGTCGGTTAAGCGACTGCCTTCGGCTCAGGTCATGATCCTGGAGTCCCGGGATCGAGTCCCACATCGGGCTCCCTGCTCGGCGGGGAGTCTGCTTCTCCCTCTGACCCTCCCCCCTCTCATGTGCTCTCTCTCATTCTCTCTCTCTCTCAAAATAAATAAATAAAATCTTAAAAAAAAAAAAAAAGACCACATGTGGCATGATTCCACTTACAGGAACCGTCCACAACGGGCAAACCCACAGAGACAGAAGGTAGATTAGTGGTTGCCAGGGCTGGGGGAGGGCAAATGGGGAGTGGCGGCTTAGTGGGTGTGGGGCGTCTTTTTGGGGTGAGGAATAAGTTCAGGAACTAGACGGTGGTCACCGCTGCACAACTGAATGCGCTAAAGGCCACAGAATCGTACAATTTTAAATGGCTACAGTGGCAAATTTTGTGTTATGTGTATTTTACCACAATTGGAAAAACAAAACAATTTCCCTACTCTGGGGCCGCCCCTGTCTGTCTGGGAAGGGTTCTCAGCCTTGGCACTGAGGCACGTGGGCAGGATCCTCTGTCAAGGGGGGCGGTCCCGGGGATTGTGGGGTGTTCAGCAGCATCCCTGGCCTCCACCTGCCAGCCAATCACATCCCCAACCTCGGTTGTGATTAAAATGTGTCCTGAGACTGCCACAGACTGTCCTCTAGGGCAGAATCGGCCCCAGGTGAGAATCACTGCTCTAGAAGCATCTGGAATTGCCTGGGCATGAGAGTATAAAAGGTCCCCTGATTCTCGCAGGCAGCCAGGGTGGAGAACCAGCAAGGCACGGGGGACGGGGAAGGAAGCCGGCAGTGAATTCACTGGGTAACCCCATGCAACAGATGTCACTGTCCTCACCTTACGAAAGAGGAGATGGAGGTTCTAAGAAGACACAGAGCTTTCCCAGGCTCATGCCAACCAGGTCTCCCGAATTCCCAAATCCAAGCTCCTAATGTGATCAGGGGCGCTACAAGGCCCATTACAGCAGGCCCTGATTCTGATTCTGCCACTAAGACCTCAGCCATGAGACCACAGGCCAGGCCCAGGACACCTGAGTCACAGTAAAGATGGGAGCTCGGGACCTGTCCCTCCACTTGGGCCCTGGGGGTGCTGGGCACCAGCAGGGTGGCCCACCAGGGGGAGCTCTGACCAAGCCCTGTGGTGTTCCAGAAGCCAGGCTTGCGTTCCATTCCCAGCCTGCTTCCCTGGTGGGAAACACCACACAGCTCAGTGAACCTCATGGGGTACAGTGGACCGCTCCCCTTCATATGTGCTCTCCAATACCTGAGACAGAGGTTATCAGTCCACTCTCAGGCTCTAATGGACCACATCTTGTTGAGGGGATAAAATCAGGAAAGAATCCATCTCAAATTCCTTCTCCTCTGCTCCCTTGCTTACGTCTGTCCTGTGTGACCTCATGTGCTCCGGGTCCGGGGCAGAGCCATCTGGGCTCACGTCCAGTTCTGCTGGCTTACTGGCTTTGTGACCTCCAGCAAGTTAAATAACCTCTCTGAGCCTCGCTTTCCCTTTCTATATACGGGGGTGATGTTAGGACTCGCCTCACAGGGTTTGGGGTGCTTGTGAGCATCAGCGTAAGTAATCCGTGGCACTCACACCTGGTGCCCACGCAATGCTTGAACCATCCACCCCTAGCCCATGCCTGGCTCACAGCTCCAGTTCAACGATTGTGTGCTGGCTGAATACATCAGCACTTAGGAGCGTGCTCACCACGCTAGATTTCTACCTAGAAATCTAAGGAGAGTGAGGACCACAGCCAGAGCACGGGAAGGGGCTGCCGAAGTCGGGGGTGGCCCGTCCTGTGCTGGCCCCGGCCACTCCGGGTTAGTGCAAGCCCACTGTTCATGAGCCTTGTGCACGTCCACCCCTGTGACGCCCTGCAAACCCCTAATGATGCCGTGTGGTGGCTGCTACACGATCCCCTGACAGGTTCACCCCAGGAAGCTTAAGTCCTGCCCCCACCCCTGGCCTTGCCTGTGTGGCCTGAACCAGCAAGGCTGCTGCTGTGCCCAGGCATCTGGCTCCCCTGGGCTCTCAGGCTATAGAGGGAATGGCACCAACATTCCCCCAGGACTGTGCCCCCGCCGCTTACAGCTCAAGGGTCTGGGCAGAAAGGCTAAGGTTCCCCCGGGGTAAGGGGGCTGGGCTACGTGCCTGGCTTGGCTGCGACCCCGTAAGCCTTATGCCACCAGCCAGGAGTCTCCGAGCATGCCTCGGGTCTGTGGGATGGCCGACAATCTACTGTACCCCCAGTGATAAGAACTGGGGCACCAGGATTCCCAGGACCTGGCCCCGTGGGGTTTAGTCTGGGTTATGGGGCAGGTCAGACTTGTAGGGATGGCTTATCGTAAGTGAGGCCGCCAAGGGGATGGGAAGGGAAGAGAAGGTGGAACCCCCCCACTGCGGGTCCTTCGCCCTTGTCTTGGGCAGCATCGACGATGGGACACGGGTGCTGAGGCCCTGGCTTGGGGAGAGCCGGATCCCGGCAGGGCGAGACACAGGCCGCCCTCACCACTCAGGGAGCAGAGGCCTGACACACACAGCTTCCCCCCGCGAGGCCTGGGGCCGGCCTTGGGGGTCAGACGCAGCACTCACCCGCTCTCGCTGTCCAGGAACACGGAGCTGCCACTGTCCACAAGGGCGGCGCTGATGGGCGAGAGGCAGAATGGCGAAGAGAAGGCGTCGGAATCCGAGTCAAAGGAGCTGTCCCTGCTCACACCGTCCGCCGACAGCTCAAGGGAGCCCTCCTCCTCGCCGGCCTCCGGCCGCGGCTCCCGCCCCTCCTCCGGCCCGTCCTGCGCGCTGACCCCCGACAGGATCCCCGAGTCGCTGTGGGCTGGCGCCGGCGGGGCCATCCCCAAGCCCTGGGCCAGCTTCTCCCCGTCCTCGGAAGGGGGTGAAGGGCTGACGCGCACGGCGTCCTGGATGCTCTGCACCACCACCAGGGCATCCTCGTCTCTGGGGGTCAGGGCGGGCCTGGGCTCCGTAGGGGAGGGCTGGTGGGGCGTCCCCAAGCTCTGGGCGCGCCGGCCCCGCGGGCGGGGCGCCTTGCGCACCGGGGAGCTCTCAGGGGTGATGTAGCGCAGCGCCTCCTCGTCCTGCTTCTGGATGCGAGAGTTGGGGACCCACGCGAGGATGAGGGTGCTCCCCAGCAGCTCATCCTTCTCCATGTACAAGCACAGATAGCCTGGGAGGGTCAGGAGGACAGGCAGGTTAGGGACGGTGGTGCCTCCGTCTGGCTTCTGCTAGAGGCCACGCCCCGAGACAGCACGGCTGGGGGGCGTGGTCAGGCTTGAGCTGAGTGAAAGCTGTGGGCATTTAGCAGATTCGGGGGCACCGGGCTCCCAGGCAGGGACCTGTCGTTGTCTTTCCACGCACGGGGAGCCCTCCTCCAGCTCAGAGCCCCACCCCGGCCACAGTCTGGCGGCCCCGGGCACAGCCAGCCTCCGGGTCTGGGTGAGCCCAGGGGCCCAGGAGCCCAGGAGCCCGGTTTCACCACAGCTGAGAGCGATGGAGGCTGTGGGCTTTATTTACGTATCATACTAAATAAATCCAAAGGGGGCGTTTGTGTGTTTTCCGGTCAGTCGGGGTCTCAGTGTATCTTCTTTAATGCAGCTTTCTGGAAGAAGGGGCCGTCCCCGATGTCAGGCACCAGACCGCGGACAGGGGCGGAGAAGAGTGGTTCTCCGAGGAGGCAGCAGCCATGGTGGGCTCTCTGGGCCCCTGGACGCTCAGTCTGGGGGGAAGGCAGCACTTCCTGCCACTTCAGGATGTCCTGATTTCTGGGCCGATCATGCCAGGTGCCCAGACCTCCTGGTCTCCACTCTGAAAGCCCCTGGGGCTGGACCTGGGCCCTCACATCCCTCGGGGCTCTGAGAACCTGCACCAGAGTCTCCTGAGCCTCGCTCCATTTCCAGAAGAGGTGGGGACACTCAGTGATAATGGTAAGGTGCAGGGGAGGCCACACTTTTCTACACCCTCAGATCCTACGGCTCGGGGATTGGGAAGGGAGCCCCAGGTCTCTGCCCCCACCCCCCACCAAGCCTTCCATCACAACAGCATCATCATGGAGCTCTCCCGAGGCTGTGCTGTTCTTTCTGATTTAGACCAGAAGGGCTAATACTCTCAGACCCAGCCCTAGAACCTCCGCCTCCTCCTTGAATCCTCAGAGTCGGCCCCGTGGTCAGGCATCCACGGCCACATGTGCCACCCAGAGCCTGCACCCCCTTCCAGAGCACACGCCAGGGATGCAGGATCTTGGAATTCCCTGTCTGCAGCCCAGAACCAGCTTCCAGGGCCTGCTCCTGAGCTGTCTGTGGGGACTGTGGACAGGCTGGGGTGTCCACACGTGGATGCCCGAGGTCCCTCATAGCGCAGGAAAGAGCTAGGCTGGAGCTCGGCTCTCCTGCTTTGGAACCTGTAGGGGCCGATGATTCCAAACCTGCACCTGACCATCTGGGTGACTATAAAGATAGACTTATCGAGGTAGGAATAGTTCATTAACATAATTTAAACTTTTTGTATTTTAATTAATTTATTCAGCATTCTGTTGACACATAATTTGCATACAGCAAAGCACTCAGGCCCGATTGTAATTTATAACTTTTTTAGATGTTCTGACATCTGGTGTGGGGCCTCTGACTGTGCTGGGTGGGCAAGTCCACAGGCCACAGCCAGGTTGCAGGTGCACGGTGGGGCCTGGGCATCCTCCAGCAGCCCGGGGAGGCTGCAGGAAGAACGAGGGAGTGCCCACCCTTGCCCCACCTCCACCCCGGGCAAGCGTTGGGAGTGGCCCAGCCTCTCTGAGCACCAACTTCCTCGTCCAAAAAAGAGGCCTGCCTGCCTGGGGTTCCGGGCACGCTCATGAAGTTAACATACAAATAAAATAAAGCAATCTATGTATTTGTTGCAAGTCATTTGCACAAACGACGAAGGATCACACAGGACTTGGGTATCACCAACCCATCATTTTGTCCCTTCCATGGGGGGCAGCGGGGCTGAGGGAAGTCAGTGCCCGGCCACTATGACCAGATCTGACAGCCTCAGATCTGCCCCCAGCCCGAGGACAGCCACGGTCAGGTACCCGTCCTGGAAGAGAAGCGAATGCTTTGCTCCGTGCTGTGACCTGCTGCCCCGCCATGCACTGGGCAGTTGGCCACCGCCGCGTCCTGAGCCCTGGAAAAATAGGCCGTTTCTTTGTCTGTGACTTGGCACAAGATGGCAAAGCCGCTGACACCACAGGAAAAGTGTCCACCCTAGGCTCACGAAGGCCCTGCCACTGGTGTGTCCCAGGCACGGCCCCGGGGGGATGAATTCGCGGTCCCTGCATCTCCCTGCTGCAGACTCCAGCTGATGTTTCCTGCGCTACTTTCCGAACAGTGGGGTCTGAGGACAGGTGGAGACAGGACTGGTGATGTCCACGGCCTGTCCCACAGTCCGCCTGGTTCTCATCATAGCCTTCTGGGCTGTGGGAAGGGAAGCAGCCACCTAGCTTGAGGGGTGGGCTCCTGCCACACTGGAGGGGGCCCTGGGTACTGGCCAGCACCCACAGAGGAAGGCTGCCCGCTTCCCAGGCTGCAGGCTCCCTGCTCCAGCAGCCTGGAGTGACCTAATGTCTTCTTCTGAGGCCGATTGCCCATAAACTGTCCTGCCCCGTGTGTATAAGTTAAAGGTCACCAGCCCCTTCGAAGATGGGGAAATTAGGACAAATGGGGAAGTGACATGAAAGCTTTCCAAAGCTGCAGCTTCATTACTTTCGAAAGAAAAGCAAGCCCCTCCACCCAGGCCCTCCCACCTCCTGGGCTCACCTGGGTGGTGCTCCCCCAGCCCCTGCAGCCCCTCTGGTGGGTGCACACAGACATTGTTCTTGGAGTAGATGATCTCCCCCTCCAGGACGGAGGGGGGCCCGCCACCACTGCCCGGGGCGAGGGTCAGGAGGTCCGAGGCTTTGGAGGAGGCCCGGCGAAGGAGACGGCCCAGAGACATTGCCGGGGGAGTGTTTCCATCCTCCGCACGCTTCGGCCCAGGCGGGGCTCGTCCAGATGTGGCTGGGGGAGAAAGACACAGAGGAGGGGCGTCAGGCCAAGGTCATGGGCTTGAGCCAGGTGTCCTTGGCGCTGCGTCCTGCCTCACACCAGTAAGCTCGAGTTGGATGGTGGTTCACTAACTACCAGGATGGGTCCTGCTGGCACGAGGCCACGTGGCACCATGCACGTTTGAGGCCAGGTCGTTCTCAGTTCCTTCCCACTATGACAGCCAAAAATGTCTCCAGGCATGGCAAACGTCCCCCGGGGGGGGCTCTGCTCCCCCATGGTGATCTCATAAAACTTCCAGACTTCTCTTTGCTCAGTTTTCACCCCTGTGTCTGTGCCCACAAGCCCTCCCTTCCTGAACTTCTCGCCCTTCCACCATGCTTCCCAGGGAGCATCCTCCTTCCGCCAGCCCGTCCTTCCCGGCCTCCTCCACCCCCAGGCCCGGCCTGATGTCCCGACATGCGACGGGCCATCGCAGCTGGGAAGGGTGTCACAAGCAGTATGTGAAGGACCCGAGTTTGCCTACAACTCATTCTTTAAAAAAATAAACGAGAGGGGGGCCTGGCCGGCTCAGTTGAAGGAGCATGTGACTCTTCATCTCGGGGTCATGAGTTTGAGCCCCACGTGGGGTGTTGAGATTACTTAAATAAATAAAAACTTAAAAAAATAAATAAAAAAATAAACAAGAAACAAAAGGATTCAATCCAGTATACATACAGAACTCCTAGAGAGTCACCAACAAAAGGAGCAGAGCATCAATTCACAGAAGAGTAAATGGAAGAGCTGATAAAAAGGAAGAATTCTCAGTCTAAACAAAAGCCCAACACCCAGCAGATGGGCCGAAAGCAATTTCTATTTCAGCCAAAAGCCCAACAATCAAAATCACTCGCTATGTGAACTAACCAGACGCTTCCCATCGGTCGAGCCCCGGAACACAGACCACCAAACTGAGCCGTGGAATGAGCCACGGGTGTGAACTCGCCCGTATAAATGAAGACATGTGCGCACAGCCATGCTGCCCCTGGCCAGAGATGGTGCATGTCCGAGGCTCAGACCGCGCTGGGCAGGGTGCAGGCCAGATTCATGGGGGCGGGGGCTGGGACGGAGGCATCTGCAGAGTGACTTCACCTTCCCCTCTTTGAAAGGAAAAAAATGAAGGTGAGAGCCAATATGATAAAATGGTTGATGGATGGATGGATGAACTACATGTGGTCCATCCACACGGTGGAATATCATTCAGCCCTAAGAAGGAAGGACATCCGGCCACCTGCCACATGGATGGACCTGGAGGACACTGTGCTCAGTGAAGTCAGCCACTCACAAAAAAACAGATAGTATAGGATTCCACTTACATGAGGCCCCTGGAGTCATCAGATTCATAGAGAGAGAATGTAGGATGAGGGGGCGCCAGGGGTTAGGGGAGGGATGGGGACAGGGAGTTAGTGTTTTGGGGGCCGGAGTTTCAGTTTGGGATGATGACAATGTTCTGGACACGGGTGGTGGTAATGGTCTCACAACTGTGTGAATGTACCTTATACCACTGACCTTGCACTTGGTAAGGTGGTACATTTTTATATCATGTCTATTTTACCACAATAAAACAATATTTTGAACTATCAACTGGGTATATTACATTGTTCTTTGAACCTTCTGCACTTTTGTACACTTCTCCTCAAATCCAGAGCTGGTTTGCGATGTTCCCTAAGTGAGGATCTTTCTGCTTGAGGGTTTGCACGGGCTCGTGGGGCGGAGGGGCGGGTCTTAGGGTGCCCTTCACTGTCCGAGGCCACGGGGCTCCACGCCGGATCCTCAGTCCACCTGGCTCCCTGAGGGCCCCTCCTGTGCCCCCAACTTTGTTCTCAGGTGTCCCCAAAAGGGCCCTAACTCTCCCAAGCACAAGATTCTTCTAACCACCTCCTGAAAGTCACCCCTCCCTTGTCTGCATCTTTACCTAGAAAGATCCATCACTCCCTTCTCCCGAATCACTGAGGTTCCCAATATCAGCATCGCCTTGAAAATCACGGTTCTGGGACCCTCACCCCCACGGCAGAGGGTCCCACAGTGTGAAAGCGGCTGCAGACAGTAACCAGTAGGTGTGTCTGCGACCCAGTGAGACTTGATTAACAGACACTCTCTCCTGAATCTCACAAGTCACCACGTGTCACAAAAAATTCTTTCAATTTTTTTTCAACCATTTAAAAATATAAAATCCATCCTCAGCTCGAAGACTAGAAAACAAGCAGAAGGCTCGATTTGGCCCATGGGCTGCAGACAGCTGACCCCTGGCTCGGACCACCATCTGGATACTCGGCCCCTCTCCACCCAAACAGCCTCTCGGGGAAGCCTTCCTGGCCTCTCCAGGTCCTCCTTTGTCTCCCCCACTGGTTCTACTGTCTGAACTTTGAGGCACGCCCCGGCACCTGCCAACCTCGGTATGAAATTCTTAAAAAAAATCACATGGCCCCTACACATCATGTTGTCTGTCCAACTAATCGTCTAGAAAAATGATAGTTATTCTAATGATGATTCTGTTGTCCAGAATATTTTTAGAATTCAAGAATCATTCCAGAATGACAAGGTCCCTTAATGAGCCGTACAAGAAAATGAGTCTCTTCTTTCTAGACCAGCGCTGCCCAGTAGAAATGTAATTCGACCACATACGCAATTTCAAATATCCCACTAGCCACATTTTTTTTTTTTTAAGATTTTATTTATTTGACAGAGAGATACACAGCCAAAGAGGGAACACAAGCAGGGGGAGTGGGAGAGGGAGAAGCAGGCCTCCCGCGGAGCAGGGAGCCCAATGCAGGGCTCGATCCCTGGACCCTGGGACCATGACCTGAGCCGAAGGCAGACGCTTAACAACTGAGCCACCCAGGCGCCCCCACTAGCCACATTTTTTAACAGAAATGAGGAAGATTAATTTTGGTAATATACTCTGATTTCACTCGTTATTTCCCAAACAGTATCATTTTGGCATGTAATCAATATGAAAACAATTACTGATGAGCTGCTTTACATTCCCTCAGCCTCTGGAGTCTGGTGTCTGTTTTGCATTAAGTGCATCTCAGCTGGGACCAGCCACACTGCAGGGGCTCGTGGCCTCCGTGTGGGCAAGGCTGGAGCCCCACCTCCTTCCGGGGGCCTCCGCCAGTATTCCTTCTTCGTTAATCCTTCTAACCGCCAGGCTGGGCTGCAAACAACTCTCAGCTGATTCTAAAAACCAAACCGTCCTTCAGTGAAGATGTTTGCCACCGTGGAGGATAATCAAAAGAATGTGCTGGAAGATTTGAAGGGGATCCCAAAATACAAGTGCTCACATCCTGCCTTTTCCCACACACCCGACGCGGATCGGATGCTCTGGGCCACTGAGGCTCTGGCAGGCGCGTCCTCCTAAATGTGAGGTTTTACAAACGAGAAAACGGGGTCCGAGCATTCAGGTCACTCAGTGAGCAGAAAAACTTGGCTCCTAAGACCTTTGTCCTCTGTGTTCAGAGTTTGGCTCCCACCCCACCCCGGTGGGCAGGGGACAGTCCCTGCAACTCTGGCCCCAGAGTGTCCTGCAGAAGGCCGTGCCCTGGGGGTGTCTGTCAAACACCCCCCCAAATATTCACTCTCTTGAGATACTCCCCACTTATTCTCTAAATGCGTTTGTTCCTCTGTGAGCCGACTTCATTGAAATGAAACCTGGTTCCCAACCTCTGTTCTCTATCAAAAACTACATGCGGAGAGAGTCCTTGACCTATTTTTGAATGCTTTTTTTTTTTTTTGTAAATTAGGCAACAAGCTCAGAGACGCACAAAGAAGAACACAAGTTCCTTAAATCACAGGATCTGAAAGCATTTGTGTGTTTTCTCCTACCTTCTGTGCCTATCTTATAAAAAGCAAAGACCCTCCCACTGGGATGACCCCGGGTCTTGCTTTCAGTCATATCATGAGTGTGTTTTTCCACATGTTAATGAGTCGAAGTGTGTGTCTTCCCCTTGCCCCCCAAATCGTATGTTGACGCTCAAACCCCCAGCACCTCAGAATCTGGCTGTATTCAGAGACGGGTCTTTACAGAGGTGATTAAGTTGGAATTAGGCCATTAGGGTGGCCTGAATCCAAAGTGGCTGGTGTCCCTTAAAAAGAGGAAATTTGGGGGAACCTGGGTGTCTCAGTTGGTGAAGCGTCTGCCTTTGGCTCGGGTCATGATCCCAGGGTCCTGGGATCGAGCCCCACATCAGGCTCCCTGCTCAGCTGGGGAGTCTGGGAGTCTGTTCCTTCCTCTCCCTATGTTCCCCCCCTGCCCCGCTCACTCTCTCTCTCTCTCAAATAAATAAATAAAAATCTTTTTAAAAAATAAAATAAAATCTCAAAAAAAAAAAAAAAAAGGAAGAAATCTGGAGATGGACAAGGTGTCCAGAACGAGGCACAGGTCCAGGAGGAGGCAAAATCGTGACATGGAGCAGTGGTGAGTTGAGACGGGAAGGGAGCGTGGGAGGGAGGGAGGGGGGCCTGCCAACTTCAGGGCGGGTGGGCTGGCAGGAGGGGAAGGGGCCGGGCTGGTGGCACACAGGGAAGCTGAGTGGGAGGGGTAAAAAGGATGCAAAAGTTCCCTGGGCTAGACTGGGACCCGTGGCCCAAGGATGCGACTGGTCCCCATGCCACGGAACTGCACACTTCAAAATGGCCTGGGTGGGAACCACGCTGTGCATACTTTACCGTGATGAAAAATAAATAGGGGCGCCCGGGGGGGCTCAGTCGTTGGGCGTCTGCCTTCAGCTCAGGTCATGGTCCCAGGGTCCTGGGATCGAGCCCCGTATCGGGCTCCCTGCTCGGCGGGAAGCCTGCTTCTCCCTCTCCCACTCCCCCTGCTTGTGTTCCTGCCCTTGCTGTGTCTCTCTCTGTCAAATAAATAAAAAATTTTAAAAAAAATCTTAAAAAAAATAATAATAGCAGTGAAATCTGGCG